TGTCCGCCTACCTTATATTAATAATTTTATTATATTCATAATGCATGGCATCGAGCTTCGTCGTGGCACGTTTCGGATATAGGACAATTTGTACTTAGCTCCTTACTATATAACATTTGTCATTTGGCCCCGTCCACAAGCTCAGCGTTGAAACGATAAATTTCCCATGTGATCCAAAATTAACATGAAAGAAAACGTTTGAAATGACTCCAGGGTTGCAGTACCAGGGATTTAATCCTCCACTTTATAACCAGTCTCGGAGGTTCCTGTCGGTACAGGCAGAGTAGATCTTGCATCGTGAGCAGTGGCGGCTCGTGATATTCAGCGCTAGTGGTTCGTCTATGGAGAGGGGGTAGGCTGGGGAGGGCGCTGCCTACCCCCTCTCCATAGACGAACCACTAGCGCTAAATATCATGAGCAGCCACTGATCGTGAGTACTAGTCAAAGCACGATATCCGTAACTTTCCGTCTCTTCTCTACCGAGGCCTGATCACCAAGAAACAAGTCATTGCGAACATTCAATAGCCAAACTGCGCAGCATCCAAATCAAGCCTCAACTTCTTTTTCTTGAAAACTTAACGTACTTTCCATTGAAAGACAATGGATCGTCGGTCAGTCTCGATTGGTATCCTTCGGCATGGTCAACATTGTCAAGAAGACCCATTCAAACTCCATTCACGGCAATAGGCATTTCGCTGAGTTATGACAATGAAATGTTAAGCTTTTCACCCGAGGTACGTTAGATCTCGACTGTGAAACGTTGTCTTCGTTCTCGACTGCAAATGGATAGTTTTGATGGAAGTGTTGAGAGCTATTAAAGAGGTACAATAGATTTTTAAAAATAATTATCCTCAAAGAAATGATAGAGCATTTCTATGAGGGTATCAATCATGAATTGGACTTGGGGGGGGGGGAGCATAGCTTAGTAAAATCTGCATAGTGTTCATGGTCTCTACACGGTATAGCAACGGTATAATTGAAATACCAATTTCTAAACGACCGAGGCAAAAAATGAGGAGAGATATAAAGGAAAAAGCCGCATGCTTCGGCTTCTATCGCCTCCATCAGGCCTTCATTGCTTTTGCCCATGAAGACTCTAATAGCCCAAACCTACGATTTTCAGGCCTCTCTTTTTTGCACCGACTCCATCCATGGCATTACTTTGTCTCCAGCAAAAATTGCAAATGGAAGGAAATAAATGCAAGTGTCGGGTCATCGTTATTATTTCCTGCTACGAAATGCACTTATTCGCACTACGAAATGCACTTCGCCTTCTGCTCCTCATTGCTCGCGTCAGAAGTCTTCCCGTCCCTGGATGGTTCCAATACCTGTAAGTCACCAGCTTATGTATACAGTATGTCGAGGTGAAAGAGCATAAGAGTTTTGCAGTCAAACATTCGTTTCTTCGTCTAAATCCTTTAAATATTATCTCATTGGAGAAATTCGAGGCAACGAAAGAACGAGGCTTCTTGCACTTCAAATAATACAGCATCATGCCCCTCAAAGAAAAAAAAAGGAATATATTCGCTGGAGCTTACGGGAAACAGGAATTTCTTAGCACGGACCTTCATGCAGTTCTGTCTCTGCTCCTGCACATTATTTCGTATCAGGGAACGTTTCACGGGATTGCAAATGTTCCAATATCGAGACATACAAGGGATATCAGAGAAGATCCCGAATCTTAACTAATTTATCTCTGCTCTTATTGCAGACTAGTGTAAAAGCCCGTGTATGCACGGACTGAAATAATTCGAATGAGAACATTTCGTGCATGACTTTCTGCTCTTTCTTCGTCGGTTTCACTGTTTATGGAGACAGTCTGCGTAGCGGCGTTTTGTGAACCTCGGCATGCACTTTTATCCACTGACTGGGACTCCAGAACTTGTATTTTCTCTTACGTTCAGTAGATCCCGCCGCTGAATACAGAGTCCAAGTGGATTCTGCGCAGCTGTGCGCTGATTGGCTGTGGCCGGGGAGCCGTTGAGTTCGGGAAACAATACCACTTGCTCCCGTAGTTAACAATGGACCGCGGAGGGCTGCCGCACTTCTCCTTCCTTTATCTCGAAAACGGTTCGGTTTTCGAAAAATCGCATTCAAACAAGATTTGTAGTCCAGAGTCTGCCCTAGCCAGTGGTATAATTATTGGGGCTTTTCGACCTTATTTAAGTGAGATAACCGCACGCAAAGGATAATGCCTCTATCATGTATCTCCCTTTCCATCAGATGCCGTCCTTCTCCCCCACACATCTCGACAATGACACTCTTGACGAAAAATCACTTTCTGACAAGATTTGTAGCCTACATTCTACCCTAACCGGTGGTATAAATTTTTTAGCTGTACGCTTTCACTTTAGTCTGATACACCTCCAGGTAAGACCTTCTTCAATCTCACCTCTCCTGGGAGGTCAGACGATGTTCTTTCTTTCTCAAGCATTTCGAAAACGGAGCATCTCATGAACATCCTATTCAGACAAGATTTGGAGCTCCGAGGCTTTTCTTGCCTGTGGTATACGTTTCGTAGCTGTACGTTCATATTCACGAGAGGTAAAATTATAATTCTCATGTGAGCGACCATTCTACTCCCTCCTGCAGCTCTGCACCGTCTTCCTTTGCGTGATGTAGGCAGTTCTCCAGAGCAGAGAATACGAAAACTAATAACAGTAACGATAAGTGTATACATTGAAAATTCAGAAAATTGATCTGGCAAGCATAGCTGATTTTTCCTAATGGAAGGCACCTGGCCTTTCATAACACCTTCATACACCTTCTGATGAAACAGATACAGAAATGTCATGAAGATGTTTTGAACTGAAGTAGTGTTTATGCCAAATCGGACAGACAAGTCCACATCAGGGACTGCAAGCCTCCGCTTCATCAGAAAGAGTAAAAACTGCGACTTTAAATCTATACTCTGGACAGTCCATCCAAAATAATATTTGAACGGGTGGAATCTTTCAAGGAACAGTTGAAGCACTTCGAATGCTGCCTGAGAAAGGCCTGTATAAGCTTTCGAGCCCTTTCATTCTCCTTGACCTTGGCATAGGTCAATGTAGCCGACTTCTCCGAAGTCAGCACACAGATTCTGTCTTGAAGTTTCTGGATGATCATTGTTGGGGTTTCATCTTTCGATTCACTGCAAAAGGCATCCACTTGCACGCCAATATCATTCCAGTCCATAAAATTCATGTTTGATACATAAGAACGAAAACGGAGGAGAAATGTGATCAAATATGTAAGTAAATGGGAAATGCATGCCTAACCTGAAAAGTGACTCAGTCTGGACTCCAATACAGGCTGTGTGAAGTGGAATTACTTCAATGGCAGCAGCAGAGGTTTCCTGTATGTTTATGTTTCCTTCATTCTCTTCCTTGAGGGCACCTTGTCCTTTAGAAATGAGTTGGGGATCTGCCCGATCTCGCGGATTTTGTCTTTTGTTGACCCTTTTGTCCTCGGGTTTTCCCTTGAGGTTCTGAGAGGGAACGACGCCTTTCCGCAATCTTTTGCACTTCACAGCTATGTTCTCAAAATCTTCCTCAAGAAAGTGCCAGCCGCACACACCAGATCTCTCTGAAGGAGACCAATTTTCGCGAGAAATTCTTGTTATCCAAGCATTCCTTTGAACTGGATTTTTTGGAAACGTGTGAAAGGATACTCCATCGTCTGTGGAGGCATTCCAACCGAAACACAAGTCATCACCATCTTGAGATAACACAAGTCTAGTTACAGATTCTTTAGAACTCCACATCTGAGTATGATGAACGGAATGCCTGGGCAATAAGACCCGTGGCTGGGCTCAGTTTTGATGAGACGGCGCAAGAGAAACAAATGCATCTTTAGAGCAGGAAAGAGTATCCTTACCTCTCCATAAGATATCGAATGAGTAAATATTAAGTCCAGTTTGGCATGGTTGCCTTTATTTTCCCCGAAACTTCCCGAATTCAGGCCGGGAAACTAAACGACATATAGTGCTGAATTTATACACTTATCGTTACTGCTATTAGTTTTCGGATTCTCTGCTCTGGAGAATTGCCTACATCACACAAAGGAAGACGGTGGAGAGCTGCAGGAGGGACTAGAATGGTCGCTCACATGAGAATTATAATTTTACCTCTCGTGAATATGAACGTACAGCTACGAAACGTATACCACAGGCAAGAAAAGCCTCGGAGCTCCAAATCTTGTCTGAATAGGATGTTCATGAGATGCTCCGTTTTCGAGATGGTTGAGAAAGAAAGAACATGGTCTGACCTCCCAGGAGAGGTGAGATTGAAGAAGGTCTTACCTGGAGGTGTATCAGACTAAAATGAAAGCGTACAGCTTAAAAATGTACACCACCGGTTAGGGCAGAATGTAGGCTACAAATCTTGTCAGAAAGTGATTTTTCGTCAAGAGTGTCATTGTCGAAATGTGTGGGGGAGAAGGACGGCGTCTGATGGAAAGGGAGATTCATGATATAGGCATTATAATTTGCGTGCGATTATCTCACTTAAATAAGGTCGCAAAGCCGCAAAAACTATACCAATGGCTATGGCATATTCTGGACTACAAATCTTGTTTGAATGCGATTTTTCGAAAACCGAACCGTTTTCGAGATAAAGGAAGTAGAAGCGTGGCAGCCCTCTGCGGTTCATTGTTGAATAATGGAGCACGTGGCATTGTTTCCCGAACTCAACGACTCCCTGGCCGCAGCCAATCAGAAAGCGTTAGCGTCGTCTGCTCCTGCGCGAAAATAGGACTCCTTATTGCTTACTGATCCCCACTTTTCGGGGTATTTTGAGAACGCTAAAATGAAAAAAAATAATTTCGGAGCACTAACAAAATGCTGCAAAAATACGCCATAAACCGGCGACGGGACTGTGACGCGATATATGATCATTAAAAGCAGTTAGAAAAGCAGCAACTTCAGTAGCCGACAATGCCTCATACTATCATTGTTCGTTGTGTGCACACAGCCCAGGAAGGTATTCAGTACTATGCTATTCTTAAGCTGAAATTAGGCCTCATGATGTGAGAATGGTAGAACGCCTTGAGAACGCCAGTGCAGCATATCGAAGCGGGATTTGAACCTCCAGAACGATGGCATGGAGGAATCTGGAGAGGTGGAGAAAAGAAGAAAATACAACATGAAAGGAGGAACGACCTCGAATCAAGTCATCTGGAACGGGTGGAAGCCGCTCACCTGTGGATGGAGCTCAGTTCTCTTGTGAAGCGTAGGTGATGAAACGTGTCCTTACGTGCCCTGGCTTTCCTGTGATGGTGAACCATGCCGAGGGGTTGGGCCGCCTGCGGACGCCGACAACCAAATGCCGCAGACACGGCTCCTGGATCCACGCAGGAGAGTCCGCCCGTCAGTCCGTCTGGTGGTTCCGATGAAGCAACCGGTCCATCTCCTCCGCATGGAACGTTTAAACGGAACGCCAGTGCACAGTAGAGAGACGCCTCATCAGTTTATCGCAGACGGATTTGAACCTCTAGAACGATGGCATGGAGGAATCTGGAGAGGTGGAGAAAAGAAGAAAATACAACATGAAAGGAGGAACGACCTCGAATCAAGTCATCGGGAATGGGTGGAAGCCGCTCACCTGTGGATGGAGCTCAGTTCTCTTGTGAAGTGTAGGTGATGAAACGTGTCCTTACGTGCCCTGGCGTTCCTGTGATGGTGAACCATGCCGAGGGGTTGGGCCGCCTGCGGACGCCGACAACCAAACGTCGCAGACACGGCTCCTGGATCCACGCAGATCCACGCGCATATGTGGCTGTTTTTTCGTTCTATTGCGTTTGGAAGCAGCATTTTTAAACCTCCAGAAATTGGTAATGTTGGACGCTGGTCATTGGAAAATGAGGTTTTTACATTGCATAGATGAGTGGCCACAAATGAAATAATCGTGAATGAGATTATTTGATTCGTGGCCAGCAACACATAATCCCCACTTCAATCCGCCAGGAAGGTTTGAACTTTCCGATTGATTTTTTGGAGAATTTCTGGATATACGAAAGAGATTGTACGCCATGTCTCTGGTTTTCTCCTACACTGAGAGTTTAGCTGACTGCCTAACGCCTATTGGCATCTTCCACAAGCATGAGTGTAATGGAGAAAGCGATTCGTGCTAGATAGAGTCAGTGTCATCGACGCTATCCTGGTCGATCTCCTTCGAATTGGGAGCAGATGGATAACAATTGTCATCAATGGAAATCTGAATAGGTGGAACTTCTCCATTGAGCTATGGTCTGACGACGTGCGATCTCTTTCTGTCGCAAGTGAGCTCATTGTTTCTGACGGACGCCGATGACCATCTAGAGCACTTTGTGATGATACGGTTTGAACATCTGTCGGGGTCAGGAACAAATTCAAAGGAACGGGAAACGCTACCATCTATCTGACATCTCTGCCTTGTAGCACTGAAATTTATGTTGATCCCACGAACATCTATTGTTAGTAAAAGCCTGGATGCGTTTAAAGTCCACGATAAATTAATATTTTCTGAAGGGTGAGCATGATGTCTAAAATGAATTTTTTTAACTCTCGTAATGTTCTTTATTTTTTTTTTAACTCCGACAACATTGTTACTGTCAAAGGAATACAGAATTCAGTTTTTTATGTTATGTTGTCACATGGACTGTTGAAGGTTATCATTTTTAATTTATTAATTATTATCCTATTATGCCAGACACTATTCTCTCACTATATTGTCAATTATATTAATGCGATACTAGTGGCCTGCGGCCGCTACGCTGGCTGTCTAATTGTTGGAAATTTCAACCGCCTATTATGAGCATAACGTCTCCTTGACAATCCTATGTTCACCTCAATTCCCAAGTTCCCATTGTTCGACGGCACAGAGGGAAGTTAGTGAATGTGCGGCACAATGCTAAAGATTAATTCCTGAAAATGCCAATCTTACATCAAGTTGCATAGCAGGCTGCACGGCTCTCCTATTCCAGAGTTCAGCATTCGCAGCCTCTTGATTTTCAGAGATCTGAGCGGCCTTAGGCTCCCTACGTACACGTGCTTGTTGTTTATCACCGATTCAAGCCATTACAGCTAGCACCGACAACTAGCAACTGCAGTGGGAAACGTTGTTTCCGCGCCAGCACCAATCGTTTATTATCTGCAGCGACTGCCTCATCGCTCTCATGTGTGACCAACATGTCTTCTTCGTGTTCAACCTCACCTCACATAAATTGCCACCATTTGGATGGGAGGTGCACCTGGTTTGCGTGACATATGAAGCAGAGCCTTTTTAGACTTTTATTTTGACTTCATCAATCATGAGAACTCAAATAAGTCGGCCATGACATGAAACGCAGAAAACTATTGCATGGAAGCGATGGCGCGATCCGCCACATCTGACCAAACGGGGAAAAAAAATACAAAAAGAAATCACCTCAGTATAGAATGTATTGAAATGAACTTGCAGTCGATCGGTGAAAACGTGACACACATTCAGTTAGCTGTGTCAAGGAAAGGGTGCTACTAAGTATGAAGCTAATAGAAATAATAGTACGAGCCAAAGCCTATGGCACACACTGATAGCGCCAGGTCCATCGGGCTATAAGTGCGTTGGATGACCAAATCTGTGGCCTAGTATAGCATAGCCCCATGGACCTGGCGCTTTGAGGGATGAATGATATAGCCCATGGCCAAAGATGTCATAGCCTAATAGACCTGGCGCTTTGAGTGGTAGATGGCCTAAAATGATCTAGTCTCTAGGCCTCGCGCGTTGCGGTGATAGCCACCACCACAACTTCTTCCCAGCGCATTCAATACTCTTGCATCAGCGATTAACTCATGGGTTATTACTATTAGCTTATGGTGCAGGTACTACTGATTCAGAAACAGTATGGGCCATTTCCAAGAACATGTTCGACTTTAGCACAGAGGAAATTTAGCGCATGTGCAGCAGAATACTAACGAATAATTCCTCGCCTCGACATTAGCAACCGTGAACATAGACTATTTTTAGACTATTATTTTGACTTCCATCAATGATGAGTACTCAAATAAATTGGCCATGAAACGCATATAGAAAACTATTACATGGAAGCGATGGCGGGAACCGCCACGTTTGACCTAACGGGAAAAAATAATAAATACAGAAAATATACTTCAGCAAAGAATGTATTCAAATGAAGAACTTGCAGTCAATCAGTGAAAACGTGACACGCATTCAGTTCGTAGCACCCTTTGTGTAGGAGGTACCATTTACGAAACACCTTGATAGTCGGGTCTGACGGATGTGCTTTCACGCATGTCCCGAAGAAAGAGTTATAAAAGACTGCGCGAGCAATGAAAGGGAGAGTTGGCGGATGTTGTGAGAGGCGGTGTGTGTGAGCGGAGAGGAAAAACATCTAATCGAGAGTTGAGAGTGAGTGTAGAACATCGGCCCACCCCACGTTAATAACCACACAGGTATAGGACATTTTGTATCTCTTATTCAGTCACTTTTGTACGCAATAGAAGTTCCAATACGGCTTCAATATCCCATTTCTGATTCTCATCAACATATTTCTCATCCTATCTTGGTTGTCAGCGACTAACAGTAATTATATAATAAATTCATTATATTATTAAGAAGGAGTCAACGGAGTCATTCTAACCTCGAACAGGCTGGCGTTCTGTTAGTGATTAATAGTATATTACGATCACGTCAGAGCCACCTACATTTGCTTGACACAGGTAAGCCTATGGCTCTGACTGATATAGCCCCATGGACCTGGCGCTTTGAGCGGTGGATGGTTCTAGCCCATTGCCAAGGATGGTATAGTCTAATGGACCTGGCGCTTTGAATGGTGGACGACATAGCCTATGGCCATCATTTTAATGATCTGGTCTCGTAGGCCTCGCGCGTTGCGGTGACAGCCACCACCGCAACTTCTTCCCAGCACATTCAATACTCTTAGCATCACCAATCAGCTCATGTGTTATTAGCATTAGTTTATGGTACAGGTACCACTGTACCTGAAACAGTACGGGTCATTTCCAAGAACTTGTTCGACTTTAGCACAGAGGGAATTTAGCGCATGTACAGGAGAATATTAACGAATAATTCCTGAAAAGGCTTCGACTCCACATTAGCACCAGTGAACAACAGTGTGAGCGTTAAGTGTGCGTTGCAGCAGAAGCACTTTTCCGTTGTGGCAGCAATGGGAAACAAATGTCCCCTCCCTACAGCAAAATGTACAGCATGACAGTGTTCGCTGCGCAAACGACTATAGTGATTTGAGATGACATGGAGAGGCCTGACAAAATGTCCCGAGTTCCGTGGTGTAATGGTAGCACACATGACTACACATGACTGGCAAACAAGAGGTCCGGGTTCAATTCCCGGCCGCCCACCGGCTTTCGACACCTGATTGCTGCGTTCCTTGCATCAAGTTGCCCAGTATGCTGCATGGCTCTCCCATTCCTGAGCTCAGCATTCCCTGCCTCTTGCTGTTGAGCCTTACGCTCCCTACGTGCAACTGGGTATTGTTCATCAGTAGCCATTATGGCTAGCATCTCTTAAAGCACCGATTTAGGCACTTCGCACCGCAACTGCAGTGGCAAACATAGTTTCCGCGCCAACACCAATCGTTTTTATCTGCAGCGGCTGCCTCATCACCGTCCTGTGGGACCTCTGAACTTTTTTTTTCATGTTCAACCTCAGATCGCAAAAATCGCTACCATTTTGGAAACAAAGAACTTACGTTATTATTTTGATTTCATCAATCATTAGAGCTCAAATAAATCGGCCATGACATGAAACGCAAACAGAAAACTATTGGACGGAATTGATGTCCCGAACCGCCATGCCTGATCTAACGGGAAAAGTTAAAAAATAAAAAAAACTTTGACACGGCTGAGTACGAAGCCTACACTCTTAGAAAATTCCGAGCGTTTGGGGAGTAAAAAGTGAGCACACTGAGTTTTTCGAATTTACTCTCTTATTACTCACCAAATGCTCCCTCATCACTCGTATTGAAGCGAACACCTTGAAGTTCTTCGCCAGGCCCCTAGATGGCGGTAAGGGTCTCGCTTTTCGCACAGTGCACAAAAGTTCCCTTCTCTCTTTCCCTGGAATCGTGACTTGCAGGATTGTTTAGTACCTTGCCATGTCTCGCATAGTCTCATTATACTGTAGGAATCAATAAACACGAACCCTTCATCATTTGTTATCGACATATTCAAGACATATTCATAGAGTCCAGGCCATGAAGAAGCTCATATTCCTATGGAGAACCCTTTTGGAACGCGAATGATTTTATCCGCAGAGGAGATCGAGAATATTCAGAGAGTGTCCGTGAACTTCATTCAATCATGCCTCCATTAAATGAGGTGATAAGGAACTGATATCCCGGGTACTTCATGGAACCTATAAGAGGTGATCCTTCCTCTGACCTGTGCTGCAATCAGTACTGTCAGCGGTATGTCATCGCCTGTACGAGAGCGAAAGCGACACAAAATATATGAGAATTTTCGTATTTGCATGACATCTCTATCACTATCTGATGGGAGCGTTTTTACTCACGGAGGAGGAGAGCAATTTTACTCCTTGGTGATGGAGCAAATTCGCTCCTTTCCCAGAGTGAAAGGGGGGTGAAACTGGAGTTAGCTATTTTACTCTCTTTATTGAGAGAAATCGCTCCCCTTTTTCTAAGAGTGTATGGCTCAGACTGATGAAGCTCGATGGAACTGGCGCTGAAAGCGTTGGATGGTCAGGCCTATGGCCTAAAATAGCATAGCCTCAAGGAGGTGGTGCTTTGAGGGGTGGATGGTCTAGCATATGGCACGGATGGCATAGCCTAATGGAC